GCTATTACCGATTCTCATCAGGGACCTATATAGCATATTCTTATACACTCTCTTATTCTTTAAAACACAAACGAGTATTTCTAACCTAATAATGGAACAACAGCAGAACACTAGCTTTAAAGCAAAGCTTTAGTTGAAAACAACTATTTGCTGTTTCTATTTAGTTGCTCATCATTGTGCGTTCGGACAAAACTGGCAAATCATAACTACCACAACAAATAATAATAATGAATAAATACGAGTGCAGTTGAGAGTTGTGGCGGGCACAACGACTCTTTCAACTTCGACTTGAACTGCAACTTCGACTGTAACTAAAACTGCAACTGCCACGGAGAAGGCGAATGCAACTGCGACTGCGATTTGGGGCCCCTAGCGAACGTGCAACAAGTGTGCGTGTCTCAAGTCATTTGAGGCGATGAGGCGAGGCGCGTTGAGTGCAAAGTTGAGCAGACATAATGGACGTGGCGACTGCGCAGTCGGCACGGCACGGCACGACATCAGCACTCACACATACCTATATACAAACATACAGTATATAGCTACGAGTATATATGTATGTTTTTGGCTCTGCCTTTGCTTTACGGCCTGTGGACTCAGCGTCTTCGTCATCCTCATCATACGTATTGCATTCCATGATGGCCACTTAGGGGCATAAGTTCGCGTCAAAGGGCCAACGAGTGGAAGGCAAAAAAAAATTTAAAAATAAATAGGTAGGTATAAAGGCAACAATAACAACAACAACAACAACAGGGCCAAGAAAAGGTTATACTGCAAAGCACGCTCCGCTCATATTGATATTGTATTAGCCTCATCAGTTTTGGGGTCGCTTCTGTTTCTGTACAAAAGGGCAGAGGAGCTGGGAAGCATTTTAGCGCTGAATCGTTCGCCGCTGACTCGTTTTGCATTTTAATTTTGCCTGATCTTTTTCATCATCATCATCATGATCGTGATGATCATTATTATCATGATTATCACTGTCGTTGCGTCCCCTTCGTTTTATTTTTATTTTTTCTTTTATTATTTTTTTAAATTTTAAAGCTTCTGCTCGATACGTTTTTTATCGCCACTTGTTGGCCATTTGGGCGTTCATTTCTGTTGCCTTATTTGTGCCGGTCAAAAGTGGAGTCGTCGTCGTCGTTGTCGTTGTCAGCGTCGTCGTCATCATCATCGAAGTCCAAGTCCAAGTGGCTGCCACTGCCACTGCCGCGGCCGCTGCCGACTGCCGACTGCTTCGAAAATCACAAAATGCGCGCATTGAAATTGTGGCTTTTTAAGCATTCATTATATGCCAAACGCACACACACACACACACACTTATACACACGCTCAGACACCTATATTTGTATATAAATACATGGTTATCTGTATGTGTGTGGTACTTTATATTTAATGAATATTTGCATGCGGAATGCTTAATTTGCCAGCACTTGCCAACTTTTGCCAAACTGTTTCGTTCGACTCGGCCAAAAGGTTGGCCGATACCATCTTAATGCCAAGCAGAGCCTGAAAACCAAACTACTTATATTCAATAGCCAGTTAAGTACTTAGAGATGATTGAAAGCTTCTGAAAGGACGCTGAGAAACTATTTGTAAATGAATGGCTAGCTTGGGAGGAAAAAAAAATGTGCACAAACAGACCAAACTGGTTTTAATTATTAATAATTATTTAATAATGAGCACACTTTTAGATAAATATTTGTAAAATATATTATATGTTTTCTTTCATACATTATAGTTTAAGAATATGATATTGAAGAAATTAAATATCTCCAATAAGAAACTGAATGTTATAGTCTCCTAAGGAAGTTTGATTGAATTAATAATGATGTTTTTCATGAGATTAGAAATGTTCTCCAGACCTTGTGTATTATGACTCTGAACAGGAGAAAATCACTATTTCGTCCTAGATGTGATAGCCTTACTTCTAAAAGCGACTCTTAATTCCTTAAGCTTGTAATAAAGCTGTCGGGAGTTTTAGCCATTAGCTGCCCCAATTAAGTTTGTTCTGGATTTATTCCTGCATTAAGTCCTTGGATTTGGAGTTTGACATTCGTGTGTCATTTAAGCTGGAAATGTCAATTAGTGTGTGTTTAACCGCCATTTTAAATTTCAAAAAAAAAATATTAAGGAATAAGCTTTAAACGTTGTATATTATGGTAAGGGAATTATTGAAAAAGGTGCAGCAGTGTTTCAGAAAGTATTTGAATGAGCCACATGGAAGCTAACGAAGATGTTAAAAAAATAAATGAAGCTCGCAACATCTCATATGAATCGACTCCAGACAATTAAGTTGATGTTTTGGCTATAAAGGGCGTCGCCATCACGTTCGAACTACAACACCAATTAATGGATTTTGCACCGTCGCATTGCAGCCAGGTTGTTATTGAATATTTGATTCGAAAACGAAACAAAAATAAGCGCTCAGTCACAGTATTCACCAGATTTGGCTCGCTTTCCAGTTCTCAAAAGTCCAAGAACTAAAGAGCATACCAGCTAATGCCTATAACAAGTGAATTAACTTTTGGATGAATATAGAGGTCAAAAGGCGACTATTTTGAAGGCGACAGCAAAGATTTGCATAGGGAGCAGAAACGAAAAACACAAAAACTGAACAGAAAAGTGCTATAATTAAATAAATATAGGTAATAGTTTCGTGGAAATTTTTCAACCTAACCCATCAATTATTTGGTGACCCCCAAGCAGAATTAGCCCTAACTACCGTTCGTAAAACTCACCAGCTTTTTCACAGCAATTACCTTAAAGCGATATTTTTCCCTTTTCTATAAACGCATTAAACTGCGAATGAAGAAACTCGATTTTGAATTTAAAATGTTAGCAGCATACTTATTCCCCAGCTTATGGCCATAAAAAATATTTGGCAAATGATTTTAAATGATCCACTTTCAAGGTCAGCTTTGAATGAGCTGCTCTTCTAGGGTTAAAATTCTATGTGAGTTGTCGCTGCTGTTGTTGTTTTTCTCTCCTTTTTTGCGTTTCAAATCAGAAAAAAAGAGAAAAAAGTGTCAAATGGGATTTGCCTTTTACTTTTTTTAAAAGCTTGCAATTCTCGTTTTTGCATGCTTGGCCAACGACGGCGAACGACAGACAAAAGTCAAAGGTGAGCCATGCCATGACATCATGCCAATTTCTGAGGTTTTGGTCAAACAAGTGAGACATTTTCTATAAATCATGCACGAGGTAAGATAATGAGAACAACAACAACAACAACAGAAACACAAACAAGTAAAAGTGTTGGCCTTCAAACGACGAAGACGATATACGCTTTCAAATATTGTTTATGCGAATATTTCTAAGCAGATTAGAATAGGCATGATTTTTAAAAAAAATTAATTATTGTTTTAATATTTTGTTAAATGTAGGCACTATTTGTGGCAGAGTAGAGATTAATAATTGAAGATTAATTGATAAAAGATTAACTGATTAACTGACTAGTTTTTGAAAATTCTAGTCCAAAAGAGGAACGAAAATGTGAATATTTTAACCGATCAACTTTAAACATGAAAATGAAAACTAAACAAACCTGCAAAAAGCTGCACAATTTTTGGAGCTATAGAAAAGCAGCAGCAGGTATGTTAGAAGAAAATTCAAAAAGATAAAGCTAGAAGACTTTGTAATGATGTATCAGATTCTATTAATCTCTCTACAGCGGCTTATTATGAGAAGAATTGCTCCAGCAATCAAATATAACGAACAAATAATCATTATAAGTTAGAATCTAAACACTCTTGAGATGATAGAAGACTAAAGCCACAATTTAAAGAATTCTCAAAAATGTAATGCCACTTCTTAAAACTAATGTGAATTCTATAATTAAAGTTAATTTACTGCAACTTTTTAAAAGCCTTTTAAAATAATATAAAATTTGTGTGCAAATTATTTGCATGTAGCTTAAGGAGGCGAAGACATATATAAACAAATATAATGATGGGCATGTTTTAAGAAGAAACGTCGTTTTTAACTCTCTTTAATCTGTTTATTTCTAATATTATATATTTTTGAATAATTGACTCTATCAAAGATATGATATTATAACTACAATGAAATTATAAAAGGGTTGATATAATGAGATTGATATTATAAAGGGAATTATATTATAACATGAATGATATTATCTACAACAGGTAAGGGACTCTCAAATTTCAATTTTTAACTTCTAATTAGTTAATTTCATTTTAAAAATTGTTCGCGCAAGATCCAGCGCACTATTGTTGCCCATTTTTTATCGCCAACTAGTCTAAAGAAGCTCCATCATAATTATAATATAATGGTTGTAATGAATTAATCGGAATACCTTTGGCTAGAGTAGAAGCTGAAAGGCTTGACAAGTCTATATAATTAATACATATAGCTTGAAAAAAATATCAGATCACGCTTACAATACAATAAATAATGACACCAACAACTACAACAATGGCAGCAGCAGCAACAACAACAAAGGTTTGACACCAAAACGAGGCCTTAAAAGCGACAAATTTACAAGCACCTGCACACACATTGCTCTCCGCAGCCATAAACTTTGAATGGTTGGCTACTTGGCCGGCCACTGGGCAGTTACTGCGCAGCAGCAGCAGCAGCAGTAACAACAACAACAACAATAAGCAGAAGAAGAAGAAGAATGACAAACGAGGTCTTAACGGAACGGAAGGTGCAAATGGCGGCGAAGAAATACAAACCGAAATAAACAAATAAATGAAATGAGAAATACAACAAAGAGTAAAACGATAGTTGAACTTTCAACACCTATTTTTTCAGTTGTTGCTGCTGCTGTCCATTGTTGTTGTCTATGAAGCAGTAAGGTAAATGCGATAAATGTGAAAAGAAGGAGGAAAAAATGTGCTTAGACATCTGTCTCTCCACTATAAGCAAGAGATACTATACTTGTATAAATATACATACATACATATATATGTATATATATATATATATATATATAGAGGAGTATGTCTTGGTTTGTTTGTTTGTTTGTAAGGTAAACTTACCGGAATAACACCAAGCTGGCCATACTACTGTCGTCTCGGTATCAATTTCCTTCATTATGGGTTCAACATATTGTCAAACCGCACCGCACCGATTCAATTTGTCGTCAATTGTTTGCTGCTGTTGCTGTTGTTGTTGTTGTTGCTATTATTGTTGTTGGCTGGCTGCTGCAAGTGAAGGCAGGAAATAGCAAAAAGAAGAAGAAGAAGAAGAAGAAGAAAAACATAATATTAGTTATAAAGTTATTTTAACGTTTTGCCACAACAACAGCTTTTTCTTCCTACTGGCCAGTTTTTCAATTAAGTTGGTAGCTGTTGGCCAAAAGCTTACGGCAAATACCATTAAGCTGTTGATGCCGTTTATGTCGTTAATTGTTATCTGTCCACATTCGTATAATTGCAGCTAATGCCGATGACTCTCTGATATTTATTTGGCTTTTACAGACTTCGGGGCGTTTCCTAAATTAACTCTACGGCTGTCTAATATTTGACGCCTGGCGACACATTGATTTTGATAATTGACACTGATTATATGTTTTATATATTTAACACTTTAAAAGCAGTCGTATAATTATTGAATATACTGTTTGGCTTCGTTGGCTTGTTATATCGAGAAAGAAAGCATTTTAAAGAAGGTGTAAAAAAGAAGCAGAAGAACAAAAGTTTTATTATTTATTTATTTATATGAATACAAGTATAACGCTACAGTTTCGACTTAAAAAAATAAAAAAAAACAAGATAGAACGCTACAGTCGAGCAAGCCCGACAGTAAAATAGCCTGTACTCTCCACAAAAAAAGAAAAATTAAAAAAAAAAAATTTAAAAAAAAATTAAATTATTAAAAAAAATTAATGAATTAATTAATTAAATGAAATTAGAATATATGTTTATGTTTAGTTTTAACAGCATACATTTACATCACGTACCTATGCGTGTTTATATGCGTGTATGTATGCAGCACAAAGTTGAACCAAAGCAGCAACAACAACAACAGCTGCGGGCAGCGCTGCCGACAGAGGCAGCGCATGAGCAGCGATTTTACTTATGGCTATAACTTTCTTCAGAATTGACCTATCATGATGAAATTTGGCACACGGACACATTAGTACTAACTGGATGTACCTACCAAAATTGATTTCAAAATTCCGAGAATTACGGAATTTATAAGAAAAAACACGAATTGCGGGGGAGTGGGGGGGTGCATCGAAAAAAAACTCAAACTCGTACTTTCTCGGTCTTAGGAGAATATGGAAACCAAGTTTGGTTATTCTAGCTCTTATACTTTCTGAGATCCTTGCGTTCATACGGACAGACAGACGGACAGACGGACGGACGGACAAGGCTATATCGACTCGGCTTCTCATCCTGATCAAGAATATATATACTTTGTGGGGTCTGCCACGCCTCCTTCTGTGTGTTACATACATGCGCACAAAACTAGTATAGCCTTTCACCCTTTGGGTACAGGCTATAAAAACCTCAAAAATAGTCTAACAACTGAACAAGAATGTCTGCTATGGGTATAAGGAAAAGTAAACATACTTATTAGTATAAAGAAAATCAAAAGCAGCTGCAGTGAAATGCAAATGAGAAAATTAAAACAAATAAACAAAACAAGATAGAACGCTACAGTCGAGCAAGCCCGACAGTAAAATAGCCTGTACTCTCCACAAAAAAGAAAAATTAAAAAAAAAAAATTTAAAAAAAAAAATTAAATTATTAAAAAAAATTAATGAATTAATTAATTAAATTAAATTAGAATATATGTTTATGTTTAGTTTTAACAGCATACATTTACATCACGTACCTATGCGTGTTTATATGCGTGTATGTATGCAGCACAAAGTTGAACCAAAGCAGCAACAACAACAACAGCTGCGGGCAGCGCTGCCGACAGAGGCAGCGCATGAGCAGCGATTTTACTTATGGCTATAACTTTCTTCAGAATTGACCTATCATGATGAAATTTGTCACACGGACACATTAGTACTAACTGGATGTACCTACCAAAATTGATTTCAAAATTCCGAGAATTACGGAAGTTATAAGAAAAAACACGAATTGCGGGGGAGTGGGGGGGTGCATCGAAAAAAAACTCAAACTCGTACTTTCTCGGTCTTAGGAGAATATGGAAACCAAGTTTGGTTATTCTAGCTCTTATACTTTCTGAGATCCTTGCGTTCATACGGACAGACGGACAGACAGACGGACAGACAGACGGACGGACGGACAAGGCTATATCGACTCGGCTTCTCATCCTGATCAAGAATATATATACTTTGTGGGGTCTGCCACGCCTCCTTCTGTGTGTTACATACATGCGCACAAAACTAGTATAGCCTTTCACCCTTTGGGTACAGGCTATAATTAAAGATATTTAATTAAAACAAAAGCAAACAAGAATCAAAACATTAGCAAACTAAATAAAATATAATTTGAGACAAATTAATTTCCTATAGTGCATTATTCGATTGATCGAAAGAGCAACTATACAAAAAGAAAAACTCAAAACCCAAGGAACATTTATTTACACAACAACTCCGACTTTTCTTCATCTGTTAAAAAAGTTTTTCTTTCCATAATTTATATCAGAAACAATCAGAAGCTTGAAAATAACATAATGTTCTAAAGCTAGTTTTAAACGGTCCCTTAATCTAATATCGCGTAATTACACTAAACATGAATATGATTTTATTTTTGTTGGTTTCAGATTCTAGAAAGGTTTAGCAAAAAGAAAAACTCAAAACCTAAGGAAGATTTATTTACACAATAGCTCCGATTTTCATTCGTCTGCTAAAAAATGTTGAAAATAACATAATGTTCTAAAGCTAGTTTTAAACGGTTTAAAAGGTTTAGCAAAAAGAAAAACTCAAAACCCAAGGAACATTTATTTACACAACAACTCCGACTTTTCTTCATCTGTTAAAAAAGTTTTTCTTTCCATAATTTATATCAGAAACAATCAGAAGCTTGAAAATAACATAATGTTCTAAAGCTAGTTTTAAACGGTCCCTTAATCTAATATCGCGTAATTACACAACCATAAATATGATTTTATTTTTAATTGATTCAGATTCTAGGTAGGTTTAGCTGCCCGTGGTTTTGGGAACCTTAAATTCCAAGATCGAATGATGAACAATTAGACACTCTTAAATTACAAAAGCAAAGCTGGCACTGATAGCTCCGTTCCTCATCCGATTTTATGTATCGTTATTCTATAGACTTTTTCAGATTGTAGAACTGAATGAAAGATTCTACAGTTGCTATGGAATCGGTTCTTTAAATTGGTCCTATGTTCGCACAGATTTCTTTTGATCTTGAAAATAAGTTACTTGATCCTGACCCTGATCGTGTTCAGGTCTTGGGAATTTAAAGTGTCGATGTGTGATGATAGCTATACAGTGAAAACTCCCTTAACAGACACCGCTTTTATCCGGCACTCTCTTCGGCGGACACTTTTTCTAAAACATTCGATCGGTGTATAAAGTATTTAAGTACCCCTTAAGCGGATCTTTTTACTGTATAAGTATACCTGTAGCTAATAATAAGGTTTTTTTACAAATGCACTCAAGAAACTGACATTTCCCATCATTATCCAATTAATTGAATCGTTGTTCTAAAGACTTTTTCAGATTGTTGGCATGGGTGAAAGATTTTTTGTTTGCCATAGAATTGGTTCAATTAGTTGATCCTATTTTGTCACATTTTTTGCAATTATCAGATTTCAATATATTGCCAAATTGAATCGAATGAATTAACTTTAAGTCCAGTCGTTTCCTGCTCTGATGTATAGAGTTATAGTGGCTGCCTTTGATCTACACCTAGCTACTGCTAATAACAGGATTTACCTACACTCTTTAGTTACAAATGCACACTTGAAACTGATATGCCCTCACCTCATTGCGAGTTCATAAAAAGTTTAAGATCGTTTGTGGTAACAAATATTTGAACAGCTTTTTGCATTTGAATTTGCTCACCTATTTATTTTGCTTGTTGTTTTTGTATTTCTTAACTGTTTCACGTTGATTGCAATGTTGTTGTTAGTGTTGTTGTTGTTAGCTAGCTGACTGATTGTCAGTCTGGCAGACTGCTGTCAATTTGTCATTAAGTTTGACAATGTGGTGGGAAGAGCAGCAAACAACAAGCAGTTGAAAAAAATGTAAATTGAGAAAGACCGGCGCATTCTTCTCTTTTTACAATTTGTTTGTTATATTTTAAGTAAATTTTATTGTCTACACATACTATATATATATATATATATATATATATATATATGTATATGTGTGTACGTGCTTATATATGTATATTTGTTTTGTGTGTATGTGTTTGTTGTTATAATTTAAATTTGCTTGCTGGTGTGGCGTTGCTTTTGCTTTTTGCTTTTTTATTGTTATGGTTATAATAATTACTTTGATGTGCGTTTTAAACGAACCTGTTATTTGTTATAAAACGAAACGCGTTTGTGTTATAAAATCATAATCCACTTGCCGTTGTTTTTATTCCTGTTGTTTTTGTTGTTGTTATTATTATTGTTTGTAATTCTTGTTATTTGCATGCAAGGCTTTTGCAGATTCTGCAATTTTGCTGACTGTGGCAACAACAATTTTTCCACCAATATCCGCACAAATACTTATGTATATTTTTTACTTTTTCAATCACACATGCATGTGTATATGTATATATTTTTTATTTTTTGTACGAAATTTGTTTATTGTTTTTAATGAACCGCACACGCGCAGCTTTTTTCACATACATGCATGTACATATGTGTGTAGGTATATAATTATAATTATTCTATAATATATATTTATTTGTTTGCACAGTTATATTTGCAGCTTCTGACTGACTTTAACCTTTAAATATGCATACTATATAGCACGAATATATCGCTATATGTGGGTTTATTTAGACTGGTTCTCTGACACTTGACTTTTAAACTTAACTCTCCTTTGTTTACTGAAATTCCTTAATTCGGAAACTCACTTTTTAACTTAAAAATTGACGACAACTTTTGAAACAAAACAAAACTTTTGTATGCACAAAACGTTGCCTTTTTGCTAAAATTTTCTGTTGCTATTTTATTTATAAATTTTTCATTTTTTGTTATTTGTTTTTTGATTTTTTCTCACTCTCTATCCGTCTTTTTGTTTTGGCTTTTAGTTTTGTGTGTTTGTTGGCCGCAGCTTCATTAATTTATAGTCACGTGCGAGACTCTTTCAAATGTTGTTTTTGTTGTTTGTTTTTATTGTTAGTGTTGCTGCCTCTGTAGCTTGTTTTAACGCTTAGCGCTTAGCATGCCACTTTGCTGTTAGACACGTGAGTCTGTTGTAAAACTAAATCTGAAACGATATGTGGAATGCATAAGTTGGGAATTATTTGCTTTATATGGTTCAGATTTTAAAACTAAAGTGTAAAACTAACAAGCGTTTGACAAATGCAGCCGCTCGCATTCCCAGACATTCTATGTGGAAAACCCGTCCAGCTTATCAACGCTCCAAAATGAGCAACTAAGATGAAATTGAAATTGAGATGAAAAGCTTGTTTCCAAGCCCTAATCCTTTCTTCTTTGTCAGCATTCTCCCACATCGTTCAATTTATAGAGACCTATATTATTCTGTTTAAGTTGAGAGATCGATGAAATAGAATGCTCATCATAACAAAGATTAATTAAATAGCATAACAGTCTCAAGCCTATCAAATGGGCAGAAAACCAGACAAAAGAAATGTTAAAAATTTCGCACAAAAATCCAAAATCTAAACTGCTGCTTAATACTTAAATGAAGATCAGAGAAATGAACGAGAACCAATTGAAATATTTGAACAGAGCCATAGAACAAACATTTAAGTTACTATTCCTATTATGTATTCCTATTTCACAATTCGATTAACAATGAATGTTAATGACTTTACATTTTCTAAAAACTGAAATGACATTTTAAGAATCACACTTATGTCATATTTGATAAATGAATGGGATCTTCAGATATTGTTTTAAGTACAAAAAATACAACAGAGATAGAATTTATATTATTTATGAGTATATAGTACTATCGAGGAAAACCGAGTTTTAAAATACATTTATAAAACAATTATAAAATGCATAGAAATGTCATTAGTTTTTCATATGGATGTTAACCTTATGTATGTATATAGTGATTGGATTCTCCATTTGTCAAATGTATTTCAGAGTTATTATTTAATATTTTACAAAATTTTCATTATATTGTAGATTATACAAATTTCTGCGCTTTTTCTTTAAAAATATAAATAATATTAATTTTTGTTTATTTATATCTACATATACTATATGTTTCATCTACACTTCTAATTTAGAATTACAATTTCCCAAAGCTGTTATCTTGATTTGTTACGCAATAATTGTTTCAAATATTTGCAAAACAAATAAAATTTCCATGTCAACAACTTTATTTAAAATCTTAAACCACTCCAAGCAGCTCTTATCATTTCAGCGTAAAGCTTTAATTTTGTATTCCAAAAATCCTGGTTAACTGCAATTTCGAGTTCCCAAAATTCACTTTTGCGTTTAAGACGTCAATGAAACACACCCTCAATGCATGCAAGACCCTAAAAAATGACTGCCACAGTGGGTCTTACTCACATTATTTCCGCATAAGAAACGAATTCCAACAATTCGGCACAAATAAACGTTGTTGTTGGTTATTTGCTCAAATAAAATTCATAAACTTTTTTATTTTATCAATCAATGGAGTGTACAACAAAGAAAGCAAACACTTCAGTTCTTGTCACACTGATCGCCATCGGCCGAGCACCCCACAACACTTTGCGCGCGCATAAAAATACGAGAAATACGCGATATTACGACCGACGAGGTGAAAAAAAGCTTGACGAGGTATTCGCACGACTCGCAGCGCAAACACAAAGCTACTGCCGGCAACAGAGCTGTGCGGTGAGAATTGAACCCCCCAAATGCTACTCTTGGAGCCACAGAGGCGCACACAGATACGAAGACTCATTCAAGCACTCACATATACACATGAACAACGAAGGCACGTGCAGGTTGCTATAAGAGAGCAACGAGCCGCTCAGTAAAGAGCTGAACTGAAACAGCTGACTAAGAGAACGCAAAGAGCAAAGAGCACGAGCAGCATTATCAGTAAATGCAAGCACCAATGCAACTCTGATACTCTTTGGCGCTCTCACACTCACACAACAACCACTTCGTGTCCATTGGTCGCCCCAACAGCGGCACAAAGGGTTCAATGAAGGTCAGCTGGTCATAGTTCAAGCTGCGACGACGCGTCGTCGTCGTCTTCGGTCACTGCTGACAATGAGCTGCCATGACGAATCTACGCGATAACTTGTGTCGCTCTGCTGGGCTGGGGAGGGGGAGAGAGTGCGAGAGCGGGAGCGGGAGCGGGTGCTGGTACGGGCCGTAAGCACAAATCAACTCAAAACTTGGAGCTACGACGCGACGTTTGTAATGAAGCATACGCACATATATTATGTTGATTTTTTTTCAGAGCGATGGTCAGGCAATGAGGGAGGAGAGCGTACATCGCTGTTGTTGTTGTTGTAAGTTGCAACTGTGTCGCCGGCCATTTGATACTTTGGCCTCGCCAGGCAGTCATCGTCTGTTTCAACGCACTTTCCTATGTATACTAGTCCATATACATATATGTATATATGTACTTGTACATGCATGCATATGTATGTGTATGTTGGATTGTATTTGCTCAGTTGTTGGCATTATTTGTTTACTGTGTTTGGCTTAAGCTGAACTTACTCGTAAAACATATGCATATTAATTGCAATCCTATTCTAATGAATTTCTTTCCAGACACCTTTCAATGTCAATGTGTGTTTGTAGCCGTAACGCGACCGACCACAGGCGAGTTTTATTTTTTATTAAGTATACGACCTGAACAACCTTTAAGCACACATACATTGCCAATATGTGCCCAAAAAGCACAAACGCAATAAAAGCAATATCAGCAACAACAACAAATATATCGCCCATACATGCGACGACTTACGGAGCAGACGTCAAACCAAAAAATATACATATGTATGTATATACGTAGGTATATGTATGTCATATGTGTGGATATACTTCGAATAGTTAGTCAGTCCCCAAACAATTGCAGTCGAAACCCACTAAACTGAATACGAATTGATAAATGTTTCAGCTCATAATTGTAAATGTAATTAATTATCCCTCAAGGCAGTTAAAGCAATAAATAATACTACAGCCATGATGGATTCGAGGAATATTTTGGATGTGGATAAATGAAATGTCTAATAATTGATTGAATTCTGCCAAGAAAGTCAACCATGAAGGAGTTTGTCATTAGCTAGCATTGCATAGATGGCGCCACGCGCAATGCAGCCAACTTCACGTCGTCAATTGCTACTTCCGTTACGAAACGGTTTTAGTTTTATAAAAAATCAATAACATATTAACTAAAGCGACTCTAATTCCTGCAATTTGAAACTGGTATTATTAATGATCAGATGAAGATCAATTTTTAATTTTTTAAATAGAATATTATAAAAAAATTAATAAGTATAACTAAAATGATAATTAACTTTAAGACAAATATCGTTTTTTAGTTTTTCTTCAACTAATTGTGTGTTGTAAAATCTCAAAGAAGAAGTTGTTTATTATTTTTATAAAAAATATTACTGCATTTTAAAATATTTTTGAAAAATATTCAAAAATAACGCTTACATCTTAGAAATGTACGACATCTTAGAAATTTAGATGTTTAAATATATCTTAAAGTTTATCACAAATGTTTAACCATTCCATACTATCAATAAGTGGTCTTATTTCTACAGAATGATCGCTGCTCAAAACAAAGAAACCAGTGAAAAAATCGTCCTTTCTAGACTCTCGATTGTGTAAAAGACCGAAATTCCTAAAATGTACTAAAAGTCTCAGTCAATTTTTTTGAAACTAAAGCCTTTCCAGCTCTGCACATGAATTCAAAACTATTTCAGACCCGTAACAAAAACATACTATATACTAGTAGAAGAAGAGTAGCTTGGAAATTGTAGACAGTAAAATTCTGCAGCAGGGAAAGCGAGAAAAGTCAACAACTCGCATTGCCTATTGTCTAGCAGAGTCTACATACCAAGTTTAT